CGCGGCTCTCGGAGGATGCGCCGGACCCCGCGTTTGCTTTTACGCCGGCCGGGCTCAGCCGTGCCTCTCTGGGTGAAGCCCGGCTGCTTTTAATACCAAAACCTCGATATTAGCCAAAAACCTCAATAACAAACTCCTTTCCCGCAGCCAACGCGACCTTGTTCGATGCTTCAGCTCCAGTGGCACCAAACACCACTAACGTCTCTCTGGTAAGCCACTTTTCTCGTCCCAACGAGAAATCTGGGAGAAGGGAGGGCGAACCCCAGGGACTTCTGCATCCGGGGAGTGAGGTGCGCCGGCTTCGCGCAAGGGAAACGGGATTTGCATTGATTGGGGTTCGTGGTTGGGCTCGGTGGCACCAAATCCCCACTTTTTTCCCCAAATTAACAGCAGCTCCGGGGTTTCCCTGTGGTTATGGGGCTCCCGGTGGCAGCAGCCCCGGGAAATGCCCCTTTCCTTGGATGCTGCAAGTACTTAAAATGCTAATTTTTCTTTTTTTTGGGGGGGTGGTGGTTCTCCCCAGTACAATGCTATTAACCTAACAGCTCTGGACTGGACTCAGCTGAGTAAGAAGGAATGTCTCAAATACGGCGGCAGCTTAGTGGGGAAATCCTGTAAATTCGTGCCTGACCTGGCCCTTATGTCCTTCATCCTCTTCTTCGGGACCTACTCCATGACCTTGACCCTGAAAAAATTCAAATTCAGCCGCTATTTCCCCACCAAGGTAAGGAAAGTGCCGGGTTTTACCCTCCTCTTTTCCAAAACAGGAGCTGTCGGTCTCTTTGATGGGTGCAAAGAGCTCCAGGAAAATAAATCGACATTTCTAGGAGACGTTGGTAGCAATTAGGAGACGCCTCCCCGAGCCTTTAGCCGCTGATTTGGCTCTTGCATGCTGAATAACCCCTCGCCTTGCGATGCAAAGGGGAAAAAAATTCTGCATTTTGTGGGTTATAGCCAGGTTATCCATGGGTGAGCGGAGCTGGAAAGCCCCAGGGAAGGATGCCAAAGCAGGAGCAAACCTCTCCATCCCATTAATTCACCTCCCCGTCCCATTAATTACCTTTTCCACCCCCGTTTCCCTATCTTGCCTCCAGGTCAGGGCTTTCATTGCTGATTTTTCCAATGTCTTCTCCATCCTGCTCTTCTGTGGAGTGGATGCCTGTTTTGGACTGGACACCCCTAAGCTCCATATCCCCAGTATCATCAAGGTTCGGCCGCGCCGGGGGGGCCCCCCCTCACCTCTCCGCCTGCACTGTCTTTCCAGCTTCTCACCGGTTTTGGGGGAAAATCGCGGCTCCTGTGGCGGCCTCTCACCTTCTTAAAAGCTACTTTGTCTTTTCTTGGGAAATATTCTAATTCTGTGACTTTTTTTCCTTCCTTTTTTTGTTGTTTTTTTTCCCCCTCCTTTTCTCTTTCTCTCGCTCCCGCCAGCTGCGTAAACTTATTAGCGATTTCTCTATCTTTATGTCCATACTAATGTTTGTGGGGCTGGATGTGCTCTTTGGACTCAACACCCCAAAGCTCCAAGTGCCTACTGATTTTAAGGTAAAAAAAAAGCAGTAAGATCCCTTTCTGGAGGTGTTGTGGAAAATTGCTCTTCCTCCATCCAGGGTATCGCTGTTGGTGACGTGGGGAGTCCCAGTGAGCACCTGGGCAAAATTTGGGGTTGAGGCATGTGGATGCTGGGGGTGGTTTGGGTACCGAAGGGTGGTGGTGGGATTCAGGGGTGGATACGGGGTAGGATGATGCTCGACGGCGATGGGGTTCAGGGGGTGATGTGGGGCTTTCCAAAATGTCAGCGCTTGGGCTTTTGCCCCTCTCTGACCTGTGCTCGGGCTCGGCCACGGTTTCCAAACCCCCTCTCTTCCCCGCCAGCCCACCCGCGTGGACCGAGGGTGGTTCGTGTTTCCCTTCGGGAAGAACCCGTGGTGGGTTTACCTGGCGAGCGCCCTGCCCGCCCTCCTCGTCACCATCCTCATCTTCATGGACCAGCAGATCACGGCCGTCATCGTCAACAGGAAGGAGCACAAGCTGCGGGTGAGCCGGGACTTGTCTCACGCTTGGGGCACAGCATCGCCTCTGGCACCACCTGCATCCCTGCCAGCACCCGCTTTTAGGGTGCAGATTGGGTGCTGCTGCAAGGCACGGGGGGGTTCACCCTGGCTCGGCACGCTGCGCAGAGCAGGGGCTCGCCCTTTCCTTTGCAAGCTGTATTTTTGGGGTGACAAAGCCTCCAGGGTGTTAAATTCACCTGATGCTGTGGGTAGCGTGGTGCAGGGGGGTGATGTGGGGTGCGCTGCAGCAGTGCAGGGTGCAGCGTGGCAATGTGGGGTGCTTCAGGGTGATGCGGGGTGATGTGGGGGCTCGGCACGCTGCGCAGAGCAGGGGCTCGCCCTTTCCTTTGCAAGCTGTATTTTTGGGGTGACAAAGCCTCCAGGGTGTTAAATTCACCTGATGCTGTGGGTAGCGTGGTGCAGGGGGGTGATGTGGGGTGCGCTGCAGCAGTGCAGGGTGCAGCGTGGCAATGTGGGGTGCTTCAGGGTGATGCGGGGTGATGTGGGGTGATGCAGGGTGCACTGCAGCAAAGTGGGGTGATGCAGGACGATGTGGGGTGATGCAGGGTGCACCATGGCAATGCAGAATGCACTGAGGCAATGTGGAGTGCATCAGTGTGATGTGGGGTGCACTGCAGCAATGAGGGGTGATGCAGGGTGCACTGTGGGGGATGCAGGGTGTACCATAGCAAAGCAGGGTGCCTCAGGGTGATGCAGGGTGCTCTGCGGCGATACAGGGTGATGCAGGGTGGTGTGGGGTGCACCATGGCGATGCAGACTGCACTATGGCAATGTGGGGTGCATCAGCACGATGTGGGGTGCACTGCAGCACTGATGAGTGCACCAGGGTAACGCAGGGTGCAATGTGGTGACGTGGGGTCCGTCGGAGCAATGTGGGGTGCATCAGGGTGATGCAGTGTGCTTCAGGGCAACGCAGGGTGCACCGTGGCAACGCGAGATGCTTCAGGGAGTGCTTCGGGGGGGAAACCCCACTTTGCTGGGCTCTGGGTGAATACAGGAACAGGTTCGTGAGCCGTGTTGCCCCCCCTTGCCCCCCGCCCCTCCTGGGTGCTGTGTTGCAGAAAGCGGCAGGCTACCACCTGGACCTGTTCTGGGTGGGCATCCTCATGGCCGTCTGCTCCTTCATGGGGCTGCCCTGGTACGTGGCGGCCACCGTCATTTCCATCGCCCACATCGACAGCCTGAAGATGGAGACGGAGACCAGCGCCCCGGGGGAGCAGCCCCAGTTCCTGGGCGTCAGGTGAGGAAGGCTCGGCCACGTTCTTCCTCGGGGTGGGGAATCCAGATGCAGCAGCAGGTCCGGCCAGCGTGGCCTCATCCTGCTTCTCTCACCGTTCTAGGGAGCAGAGAGTGACGGGCATCATCGTCTTTGTGCTGACGGGGATTTCTGTCTTCCTGGCCCCTATCCTGAAGGTAAAACACTCCCCTTCCCCCATCCCCGCTCCCTCCCTGCAGATGTTTGGGGAAATGGGAAGAAAAAGCCGGATTCCTGCCCGCCCCCCCCATGGCCCCAGCGTTGGTCCCCGTCCCTGGGAAGGAGCTGCCGCCTTCCGTGGGGTAAACACCGTGTTTTTTCCATGTCCCCAGTACATCCCCATGCCGGTGCTGTACGGCGTCTTTCTGTACATGGGCGTCGCGTCACTGAATGGCATCCAGGTAAGCGCTCCTCCTCCTCCTCCTCCTCTTCCTCCTTAACAGCCATGAAGGGCTCCTACACCAGGGCAAAAAGGGGGATTTTGAGCCTAAAATTTGCATGCATCCAGTATCTCCAGCTGTATGGGACAGCAGATATCCAAAACCCTCTGAGAAACATCAAAAAGCCCCAAATTCCCCATTTTGGGGACTAAAAGAGGGTTTATCTGGGCCACCTGGGGAGTGGGACCGAGGGCTGACGCCGGGCTTCATCCCACCGCAGTTTTGGGACCGCTGCAAGCTCTTCCTCATGCCGGCCAAGCACCAACCCGACTACGTCTTCCTCCGGCACGTGCCCTTGCGCCGCATCCACCTCTTCACGCTGGTGCAGATCATCTGCCTGGCCGTCCTCTGGATCCTCAAATCCACCGTGGCCGCCATCATCTTCCCCGTCATGGTAAGGCCAGGCCCCCGGCTGCTCTTGCAGCCTCGTTTAGAACACTTTTTTGAGATTTGACGAAATTTTGGCTCGCTCCTGTGGTGGTCCTCAGGTCTTGGGATGAGAGATGCTCTTGCAGATCTCGCTCTTACATCTCTCCCCCCCTTAGATTTTAGCCCTGATCCTGGTGAGGCGGCTGCTGGATTTTGTCTTCTCCCAACATGACCTGGCCTGGATTGACAACATCATCCCCGAGAAGGAGAAGAAGAAAGAGGATGACAAGAAGAAGAAGAAAAAAGGTGGCAAAGGAGACAGCAGCAGCGATGAGGAGGTGGGTGCAGGATGGGTGGGGGGCTCCCGTGGACCAGCCGGGGAGGGAAAGGTCCCACCGAAACCTCCAGGTCGGTGGGTTTGGGATGAAGCTCTTTGATTCACGGAGGTGTTCCACTGCGTATGTAGGGCAGCCTGATTGAGAGGCTTTAAGTGATGCTTTTAGGGGCTGGACGGAGGCTCCAGGGAATGCTCAAGCTGTCCTGAAAGCTGGAAAATTGTGGCAAAAAAGAAATCGTTAGGGAGAAGAGCTAAAATCCCATGGCTGAGGGTATGGCACCCATCGTACGGTGGCAAAGCACCGTTAATCCATGCAAGCCCCTGCTGCAGACCCTTCCCTGGGCAGAAGGGAAGAGTTTATTTGGGAAGAGGAAGGCAAATCCTCTTCCTCATTGTGCACCCACCTCTGGAGGTTTTGGGTCCCTTTGGGTGCTCCAGGTGGTCTTGGACCCCACCCAGGCGCTGCCTTCACCGAATTTCCCCGCTTTCTTCCCCAGTTCCCACCTCCCTCAGTCATTAAGATCCCCATGGAGCCCCTGCCATCGCAGCCCCGAAACGGGGGTCCCCATTGCCTCAGCCGTAAGTAAAGAGCTCAGGACCCTCTCTCGCATTCCCTACCGCTTCCTAACCCCCCCGCGACAGGGCCGCTCGGCCGCCGATGGCACTAACCCCGCTAAAAGCCGCAGCCTGGATCCATCCCGCCGAAGCGGGGCGGAGGGTTTGCTGTCTTTAAAGCAGGTTTGAGAGGATGCAGCCAGCTCGGTGCTGCTGATAATGTTGTATTCCAGGTGGGTGGGAAGCCAGATTTTAAAAAAAATATGTATTTGGGAAGGTTTTGAGCCCCCAAAAGCAGGGGATGCAGAGCTTGTGGCGGCGTTATCCGGGCTGCGAAAGAGCAGACGTGTTCAGTTTGGCTCAGCCTTCTGCCTGAAACATCATAGGTGAGCTGGTGCAAAGCCAGCCGCGACCACAAAAAGTCACAATGAATCTGGGTGAGTTTGTTCCAGCTCGGCACCGGGTTGCATCACGATGCCAGTGAGTTTTAGCACGATGATTCATTGACTCTGTCCTTGAGCTGCTGCAAGCAGGGGCTGCTAGGGCTGCTCTTTCTCTGATCCCCCCCAAAATCAGCATTTCCCAGGAGCTTTTCTCCCCCTCCCACTGTCTGGAGGATGCTGGACCGGTGGCAGGTTGGAGGGGGGGATGAGTGGTTTTGTAGGGGGGCTCCTTCCTCACCCGGGAAGTGTTTCACCTCCGTGTCCCCCCAGGAAAGAGGTCCTCCACCTGGAGCTTTGCGTTCTGATTCCTCCCCGAACGGTTCAGACCTGGATCGCAGGTAAACGGCGCCGAATGGGCTCACCCCCCCCAGCTCCCCCATCCCCACGCCCACTGTGGGAGACGTTTTCAGGGTCACC